TAGTTGTTCTACACAGGCCTTCAAGACTCTGGAAGGAATGCTGTCTGGTCCAGCGGCTTGTAGGGGTTCACCTTCCTCAGAGCTTTCCAAACTTGTGTGGGTGTCACCTGAAAAACAGTGACTGTGGGTTTACAGTGAACTTTTGAAGGGGTGTCTGTTTTCATTCTATGAAACCTGGTGTAGAAGCTGTTAAGGCTGTCTGGAAGGGTGGCATCCAGGGGGTCTGTGGCTAATTTTATGTTTCATGTCATTGTCATGTTTCTTTGTCTCAGACTGATCTCATGAAATGGCGTATGTATGACACGCCAATTCGTATTTCCATTTTTGCCGTGCTATCAACATGCACAATCGCTTTTCAGCGTGTTTATGAACGCCGTTGACTGAACGTTACATTACTGTATATATAAATAGATGACCTACCCCAACCCTGTCCTTAAAAATACCCGTCACTGGGGTTAATAGCATTTATGAGTCTTCCCCTACCATAGGAAAAAATATCGCTCCCCAGATGTAGATCTACATTTTGCTTCGTTTCGCTCGGACATTTCAGGGCGTAGACATACACGCATACACACGGATAGCTCAAAATGCGTATAGATAACACACCACTTGACTTGAAAGTGGTGTATATTACGCAAACGTCAGGTTGTCATTTTGTTTGTCTTGTCATGTGAATCCCTGTTTATCATGTGATCCTGCCATGTGTTCACTTGTCTGATTTGTTATGTAATTTGTTCATTGTTGAATATGTGGATATCCAATATGTGGGTTGACAGACTGGAACGTCCGCACTAGAACAGTGCTGCGGGCAAAGTTGTGCCTAGGGGTGTGACCTGTGTTTCTTTATAATTATTATTTTTTTTTCCTTTGGGCCCCTTGTCTTATTCTTACTGTGAATTATTTTGTTTTGATTTTTCTTTCATAAAGTAGCACTAGTAAAAGCTGTGAAAAACAAAATCCTGTCCAGTCTCTTTCAATCAATAACCCACTTACAGTAAAATGTAAATGGTACTGTTGGAATTGATGCCTTGTGCCTTTTTAATACTGTGACTGACAGTGTTGTAAACTTGGGATACAGTTTGGATGACAAAGTACACAGTTGCATTGACAACATGCCTAAACATTTTGACAACCTTGTTTGTGAACAATGTCTTAATGACTTATCATTCTGATGACACTAACATAATCATCGACATGAATATTTACTTCTAAAAGATGTACTAAAGATTTTTAGTGACTGTTGACTAAATCATTTGAATGTTTACTCACTGATTCCATTCTGTCCTGACTGTGTATGACATGTATGTGCATGTGCTTGTTTGTGTTAAAGGTGTGCGAATTCGGTGATAATTTGTTGGAGGCTCCGATTGGTTCTCCTCCACACCTGATCCATATTAAAAGTAGTAGTTCACTTTAAAAAAAAAATAACAACTTTTGCTGATTATTTACTCACCTCCATGTCATTCAAGATCTCCAGCATGTGTTTCTTTCTTCAGTCAAAAACATTTTCACAAAATCATAAAAGAAAATCCTACATAATGCAAAAATGCACAACTGGGCATGCAAGAATAGTATTGTCTTCTAATATATTTTAGCAAACGTCCTAGAGGACCATCCCTGCGGTTGTGTCCAAGCCAGTATGTCCACTCAATGCAGGTTAAGTGTTCCTTTAACAGCTTTTCTGTCCTATTGCCTCTCAATCTCCAAATCTGGCTTTTTGACCATGCTCATCAGTGAGAAGTTAACATGTTTTTCACTTTAAAATAACGGGCCACATCACTAGTAGTTCCTGCGGGGTGACAAGGTAAAGTTAGTGAGGAGATAACATGTTTTTCACAAATAAAACAAGTTATTTAATTTTATATTTGACATACTGTACAGGTTCTGTGAGGCACTAATCTGATATTTCAGACATGTTACTTTTATGATTAGTAATTAATTGGTTATTATTTCTTAGTTCAAAAGTCAATGAGGATATATTTCTTTAAATAACAAGGAACTACCTTTAAATTACCTATTACTTCTTAGTTAATATTGCTTCCATATTAGTTAATAGTATTAAGTTCGGTGTTAATCATTACCTATTACTTCCTGCATACTACTTGTTAACTACGGACCATTATTTTAAAGTGTTACCATTAAAGCTTTTGTATATGTGAATAGCCCACAGTCGTTGGCACCTATCTAATACAGCTCATACAAAAGTCAAAAGTGGTCATTGTACTTGTATTGTACATACTCCTCAGGTGCGTTTGGGCAAATTGGATTATTCACATGAATTCGTATGATCTTAGTTTTCGTAGATCTGCTAAACGCATCATGCACGTGAAGCATCTTTCACCATTGACATCCATTAAGTAGCCTAGGCTGTTTATCCTGATGACCAGAACAAATAAATATCTGTAGTATATATATCAGATTTTTGCAAGAAAAATATGGAAGTGAATTTTATCCGTTATTTTAAACAGCTACAGATATTTTGAATTTATCTTTTATCACATTTGCACAAATTCGAAATCACATCGTAAAATGACCTTCTCCCGTCATAAGGTTGGAGAACCACCGAAGTGATATACTGAAAGTACGCGACCTCAAGTGGGCTTGCTTGACTGCTGCTATAAAATGAAAAGATAAGTGATAATGGGATGTCATGCGTTTGATCGGAATGTCGCCAAGTGTGGAGGAAACCATGAAAGTAAAACACCCAGGGACGGATTATGACTTGCAAGTCCCCGGGGCCAATTATCTCAAAGGGCCCCCCTCCCACTATTGTTATTGTTTCATGTTATTTTAGCTGCGCGTGCCATTCACAGTGTCTAGAATTTGAAAGTTATGATGATCGTGAGACCGTTCTCAGTCTGCGTCAAATGTCAGCGCTACCCCTGAATCGAGGCATAATCAGTGGTGGAGGAAGTACTGAATCTCAGTACTTAAGTACAAATAACCAGACATATTACTTTAGTAAAAGTAGAAATACCACAATGAAAACCCTACTTAAGTAAAAAGGGCTGTAACAATATGCAATATGAATTCGAAATCACTACACTCAGATCTATGAACCTGTGTCGCGGTGTGAGAAGGCAGAATCGTGACACACTCCTTAATTTGAAGTTAACATTATACAATACGTAGACCTACACCACAAAACTAGTTGAGGATAAATGATTTAATATTGGGCAATTTCATTGTTATAAACGGGACATTTGCAGTAAAAAAAAAAAATGAATATAAATTCTCAGAAAATGCATTTAATACATATTGAAAAATATCAGCATGCGTTTTATATTTAATGGGAAATAGCCTAGGACATGCGTTACGGGACACATAAAATCTTTATGGTAGAAAAATATTTGAAATTAAAATGCTACAGTATATAGTCTATGTAGCAGGATAAATAGTAGGCTAGGCCTATGTCAGGGTTGGGTGAAGGATAAAGCGGGGACGCATGCAGGTGCAGAAAACAATGGGCTTTATTTAATAATAAAATATAACAAAAACTACCCCGGGGGTAAAAAAAAAACGACTTGACGACAGAGAAACACACAGACACACATTCAACAGGTATAACATTAACAAATGACAACATGAAAGCATGCAGCTAGTGAAAAAAAGCTAGTGAATAAGCTGCGTGCAATTAGCACAAGACAAAACATGACACGAAAGCACACAGCCGATGTAACGATTAACGAACCGCGTGCTACACAGAAAACAACACCACACGCGGACAGAAGATCTTATACGATCCGAGCGGACTCTAAACCACACGCTCACACAAGACAAGAAGCGTGTGAGAACGAGTGTAAGCTAGGGTGACCAACAGTCTTGTTTACCCAGGACATGTCCTGTTTTGAGGTGCTGTCCAGGCCGTCCTAGCTGTTTTTTATAAAGTAAAAAAACTGCTGGGAAAGATCAGCTCTACAGCAAAATATAGCAAACGGATGAGTTAGAAAAACAGGATAAAGAGGAAAAAAACTAAAGATATATATTTTGTTAGTTTGTTTTTGTAAGTTGGTGAGAGATATTTTTGTTTAAGTAGGAGACATTACATTACAGAAGAGACATTATTTCTAGAATTATTTGATTCATTATTTTTGAAACCTGTCATAATAAAACATGTTGAGTAACCTCTGAGAAGCCTATTTGTGTCTTTGTAATATAACCATGTTCTATCCATACAGGTGAGGCATAGCCTACTTTAAATGTATAAGGCACCTTTGAGTAAACTTCAAGTATCATTTGAGGATCTGTTTGCCAGGCCGAGTGTCCTTGTTTTTAGTAATCAAAATATGGTCACTCTAGTGTAAGCTCATTCTGTGTGCCCTTTTCCACCAACAAGAACCAGGTGCTGGTTCAAAGAGCTAGTGCCGGTTTGGAGTTGGTTCGACTTATACTTAACCAAGAAGGTTTCAGGAAACTCATATTAAATAAGGTAGCCTAGCTTAAGCTTTACGGTATACCGTAGCCTAACTTAAGAACGACGTAGCATTAAGAAGGTTTCTGGAAACCCAGCCCAAATTCCTTGTGTCTGCAAACAATGGCAATTAATCTCTTTCTGATTCTGACAAATAGTACTTATTTTTATTCACACAAAAAAAAGAAGCTTACAAAGTGGTTAAAATAAATATAATTTGAAACAGGATGGAACAGACAATGGTTCTATAAGAAATTTGGAGGCCTTTATATTCACAGGGCCCAGTAACAGAAGTGACAGTGAACCCAGCCCCTCATAGACTATAGAGCCTTGTTTAAGAGGCCTTGCATAGGCTATCGGGGACACATTCAAGCATATTTAAAAAAAATTTTTCATTGTTGATGTGTTTTCTGTACCAAACTGGATCACGCGACCTTAAAGCATGGGCCCCCTGGGCTCCTGGTAGTCAAGGGCCCCTGGGCACTGGCCCCATTGGCCGGTCAGTAATCCATCCTTGGAAACACCCCTAGCCAACAGGTGAGCTGAAAAAAGTATTTAAGGAGGGAAAGGAGGGGAAGAAGCTATTCATTTTCAGCAGACGTACAGAATCAAGTAGAAGATGTAAGACTACCAATTCTTGATTTATTTATTTTCTCATTCCAAATTCAATTAACTTAAGGTTAAATTCTGTATTGATTTCCATTGTAACGATTTCTTGTTTGATTTAGATGGCTGTCCTGTTGGTAACTTTCCTTGCTGCTCTTCTGTGTCCCTCCGTCCACAGCGGGGACTCTTCAGTGGGTGAGTAACCCAAGTTCAACTTTATTTACTCCTTAAAGGACTATGCTAACTCCTATTAAAATATTCATTAAAGGCGCTTCAAACTTTTTTTGATGGCAATTCTGCTATATATTAATATAAATATATATATTAATGCTTTCATTTAAACCTAAACAGCATGGTGCTATCACAAGCCAACATGCAGTAAGTGTAATTTATTATAAAATATTTCATTGTATAAAACTTTATATAAATCTTATTAGAAAATGTTATATTTAAAACTTGTTCTGAAGTAGATTTTGTTATCCCCAATTTCTAATAGACTTTACCACCTGGCCCAAAATTGCTCCACATTCCTGCAGTGGATCCAGGCAATCCCCCATTGATATCAAGACTAAAAGTGTTCAGGAAAATCCTAAACTGACCTTATTCAGCTTCACTGGTTTTGATGACAACTCCACCTTCATGTCAATCATTAACTCAGGCGACTCTGGTAAGGAGCAAGGAGCACTGACAACCTAGATTTTATTTAAAAAAAAGTATTATTATAGGATTTGTTCGTCTTTTAAAAATATATTTGCTATAGCATACACTGTAAAAAATTATTGTGATTTTAACAGTAAAAGACTGTAAAAATGCTCCATTGAAAAACTGTTAATTGGTTAACAGAAAGTTTCCTTACTATATATGGTAAATAACTGTGATATATATAATAAGACATTTAATGTAGTTTTACTGTAAAATGCTGTTAAATTCTTACAGTTTTTGGAAGTGAAAAAGAAGAAGTCATTATATAATTTACAGTGAAAAAATGTAAATTGACTTTCCCACAATTCCCTGCGTGACACTTTACATTTAATGTATTTTAACTGTTTATTCATAATTTTCTTAGTTTTTTTTTCTTATCAGTTATGTTCATCAGGGTTCGATGTTACATTTAACGTTGTTAAATTAATTCTTATTTCATTTTTCAAATTTCAACGTGTTACCATGATGGTGTTTAATGTTTGTGTGAATGACACTGTGCAGCTTCGTAGTATGAACTCTCTTGTGGAAGAGCTGATAATGATGAGCAGTGATTGATCATTTGATTCTCATTACTACTGTGATTGATGGCTGTCGGTGTATTACAATTGAACAAAACAGATATTAATATGTCAAAATGTCAGTAAATTAACATTATATCAAATAATGAAATACGGTTTATTGCTGTAAAATTAAATACGGTCAAAGTCTGTAAAACCTAAAATGTTGCTACCGTACTTTTAACAGGAAAACTCTGGTAACCACAGCTGCCGGAGTTTTTCCGTAAATTTAACGGATTTTTTTTTAAGTGTATATTTAGCAAATTTAGGGAGAGGGAAAGAGAGAGTGGAGTTCTTGCACATAAAGTCTCTTGCTCGCTTTCGCTCTCTGCCGTGTGCGTGAGCAAGCACAATCTCGGTTTGGAGCTCAATCTCGCTCTATTCCGGGAGATTTTAACTAATTTGTGATCTTACTAGGCTAAAACCAGAATTTTACTAGTCAATCACGAGTAGTTCAACAGGTAGATATATAGAAAAACTCATCTTCCAGGCATTTGACCAACCAGGTTGACACTCCAGCGTGAGAAAAAAAAAATCAATTGTCAGGCGACAAGCGAAACTGCAACCAGAGGTGTGCACGCTCATGGACCAAACGCATGCTTGCACGAGCACAAGCTGTCTATAACCAAAAGATCATTACCCGGACAAATATTTTGTTACAGTCATTATAATGGAAGCTTGTATCCACCGCTGATTAAAAACAAATTTAAAAAACAATTGCGACCTTTTATTTCACAATTGCGAGATATGAAGTCAGAATTGTGAGGGGGAAAAAGGTGCAATTGCGAGATACAAAGCTGCAATTATAAGAAATAAGGTCAAAACTGTGAGAAAAAAAAATACAGGATTTGGACTTTTTATCTCACAATTCTGACTTTTTTCTCACAATTGCGAGTTTACATCTTGCAATTATGACTTTAAAACACATAATTGTGAGGTTATATCTCGAAATTGTGACATCTTTTCTCAGAATTGTGAGATATAAACTCACTTTGCGAGTTATCAGGCCAATTCTAAGGGAAAAAAAGACTAGCTTTTATATAGTTAGTTTATAAAGTTTATGTCTCACAATTCTGACTTTACAATACGCAAATTCGAATTTATATCATACATTTCTGACTTTATAACACGCAACTGTGACTTTATATCAATCAACTCTGACTTTATATCTCGCAATTCTGACTTTAGAACACGCAATTGTGACTTTATATCACTCAATTCTGACTTTATGTCTCGCAATTCTGAGAAATAAAGTCAGAATATTGTGAGAAAAAAAGTCAGAATTGTGAGATAAAAAGTAGCAATTACCTTTTTTATTTTTCATTCTGTGGTGGAAACACGATTCCTTAATGTTTTCAGAGGTAATAAAGTTATAAATCTGCAAGTCATTTTAAATATATGAAAGGAAAGGCATTTGAGTAAATTACACACTTATGTGTAAGTGGAAAACGGGGCTAGTAGAAAACTTTTTTTGTTTTTGTTTCCATCTATCTCTATGTTGAACTGTTTTATGTGCTTACTGTATCCACTTATGATTGTATCATTATGGAAACATGTTCATGAACAATATAAGTTATTACTTTGGATAGGATCCCGTTTGAGCCCTTGAGCAGACCGGAGATCTCTCCATTTGCAGCCCATTCTCACCCCCAAGGCGTCACCTAACTGACTTGGGAAGCATTTGACCATGCTTCAATATTTGACGCTTTAGGCGCCCTTTAGCGTCAGTTAGATGACGCCCTAGGATCGCGTGTAACCCTACCCCCACCCCACACCTAAACCTAACCGCGTCCTCTAACTGACGCTTTCCTTTAGCGTCAGTTAGATGACGCCGTAGGATCGCGTCATGTAAGTGACGCTAAAGGGCGCATAAAGCGTCAAATATTGAAGCATGGTCAAAGATGACGCCTTGGGGTGAGAATGCGTTGCCATTTGTTGAAAGCCTTCCCGATGTTGAATCTCGTCTTATTCCGATGCCTGACACTAGACAAAAGCTTTATTTTCTTTGTCTTACGTGGAGTTTGCGTTGGGGTTTGAAATGAACTACAAGCCGGTCTCTTTGAATCCATCTTTTACTTTTGTCGAAAGTTGACTAAAGTTTTGTTGCTCGAGTTGTCTTCTCTGACACGGAGAATGGCGGCAAATACACAAAACTGCCAGACATAGCCGGGTGAGCGTAAACACGCATGATGTCACGCCCAGTCTCAAATTTCGCTCCGAATCCCTCTTATTTATTTTTTACTGCACAGGATTATCGAGGCAATCACAGTGATCAGAGAATGGCTCATTCAGCCCATCAGGCAATTGTTTAAGCATGTATGGGTTAAAAAATTGATATTTTTATCATGAAATTTTGCGCAATGCACCTTTAAGAAATGGTAACATGAGAAGTTTCACATCAAGAAGCTCTTTAAAAGTATACAAAACTGATCTAGGTGAAACTGTTAAACAACAGATAACGGATAATGTTTTTTGATTCCTCTTTTTGTTCATAAGACTCACTGACTACATAGCAGCAACTTAAAAGTGTTATTTTATGCATTTTCACGAAGTATTGATTTTGTTGTTTTTTTTACCATTGACCGATACTGCGTGAGATGCGTGTGACGCACAACATAGTTCGCGCTGCACTGTAACACTACGTGAACTTAGCTCAGAAGAAAATTAATAGTTGAATAAAGTCATTTTATGTCATTTTCGCGCCTGCTCTTAAGTGAAAAATAAAGTGGATTGGGCGCAAATATAGCGTCAGTGCTGCACAATGTCACTGTCTTCCATGTCCTGGACTTTGTATCTAATTCGTCCATTGTCTTCACAGTGGTGGTCTACGTGGATGATGATAAAATGAGCGTGCAAGGAGGTGATCTTCCAGGTCTGTACAACACTAAACAATTCCATCTCCACTGGGGAAAAGGCAGCTCCTCGCCTGGATCTGAACACACTGTGGATGGGAAACAATACCCAATGGAGGTATGAATTCATTAATTTTCCACATAGCATTATCCCAAATGCATTATCTTTATACTGTACGTCCAACTAGTACGAGTGAGGTCGTACGAATTAGTACGAATTAGCCACTTTTTAATCATGCGTCAAATTTGTACGAATTGGTCGTGAGATAGTGTTGGTACGTCTGATTCTGTTTCTCAGCTGCACATTGTGAATGTCCATTCAAAATACAATGGGAGTTTGGCAGCTGCTCTAGCTGCTGATGACAGCACAGGATTGGCTGTTCTTGGTTTCTTAATTGAGGTGAGCAAGACCACGTTTTGTCCAGAGTGAAGTGCAAACCTTAATGTAGGCTATATTCATGGCTTAGTTGTATGCTCATGTGTATGTGTTTTTATTTTACCAACAGGGAACCAATGAACAAAACAAAACAAAAAGTTGGGATATCCTAACATCCTTTTTGAAACAGATCTCTACTTCAGGTAAGAATAATTTGTTTTTGATAGTTTACCCAGAAATGAACTTTTTGTCACTCCTCACCTTTATGTCGTTCCCCACTGAAATGCAACATATTTTGAAGAATGTTTCAACTATTTTTGTCCTTACTTTGAGTGTCATTGGGGTACAAAACAACAATGGCATTCAGGCACAATTCATAGAGAAATAGCTTATTTTGTTGTCCATAGAAAAAAGAAAGTTATAAAGGTTTTGGATCAACAATGTTGACCAATTTTTCATTTTTGCGAAGTGAGCCTTATCAGCGTCAGGCCTCACTCATTTCTGTGAAAGCGATGTTTGCCATGTGATCTTGAACTTCGAACTATTTTTAGTTTGGTTAACGATATGTATTGCAAATACTATCTCAGTTTGACAGTCTTCACTGATTCAGCATTAGTAATTAAGTCTTGTTAAATGCAACATAAGACATTATCAGAGCCCAAATTTGTGTTTGTTCTTATAGCTGAAGTTACGAACATGGTGTGTTTGTGGTCTTGCCACTTGATCATGTTTGTTTTGTTAATGACCTAATTCTGAATTTACTACTTGTTTACTTCTATACTTTGCTGGTTTGTAACCCTTTCTAATTCTTTCTATTGGTGTTCTTACAGCCATATCATACAGTATCATCTACAGTCATATCTTCAATTGTTAGTTAAAGGAGTCGTTCACTTTAAAAAAAAAACTTAAAAATGTACTCACCCCCATGTCATCCAAGATGTTCATGTCTTTCTTTCTTCAGTCGAAAAGAAATTAAGGTTTTTGATGAAAACATTCTAGGATTTTCTTCATATAATGGACTTCAATGGGAACCAAACGGTTCAAGGTCCAAATGAGAGTTTCAGTGCAGCTTCAAAGGGCTTTAAACGACACCAGACGATGATTAAGGGTCTTATCTAGGACCCCTCGAGTCATGACTCGAAAAAAGACTTGTTCATTTTGATGAACGAATTTGAACAGGAGAGTCACGAAAGCTCATCACAGAACAGAACAAGGCGAGCATTTGTGCTTACAAAATTTAAACTTTTTTTTTTTTAAGTGACTGATCGTTTCACTACATAAGACGTCTGGTGTCGTCTAAAGCCCTTTGAAGCTGCACTGAAACTCTCATTTGGACCTTGAACCATTTGGTTCTCATTGAAGTCCATTATATGGAGAAAAATCCTGGAATTTTTTCATCAAAAACCTTCATTTCTTTTCGACTGAAGAAAGAAAGACATGGACATCTTGGATGACATGCACTGTAAAAAAATATTGATGGTTTAACTTAAAAAAGTAAGTAACCTGGTTGCCTTAAAATTTTAAGTTCACTGAACTGAAAAAAAGTGAGTTAAAGTCCCTGTAAAGTCAAAATTAAGTATGTGTTCTGAGTCTGTCATACCACAGAAAAATGTGTTATTAGCCACCCAGCCAAATTTGAATGATAAAAAAAGCCGGGAAGTACATAAAATAAGCTATCAAAATCATGAAAAAAATGATCAGATTCTCTGCTCTCAAACGCTGGGGGCGTGTCCGCTGGCTGTGCTGAAACCACGCCCACTCACGGGAAAGCTGTTGACGGTGATATTAGCTGATTAGCTTTTGGAGACGGGATGAACACTGGGGGCGGGAGATCGTCGTTTCGGCCCCGTTCACCAGTAACAGCGGATTATCAGTGAATCCAAGTTGTCTCTGAGGAAAGTTTATAAAACGATCCAGTGTAAAACGATCACTACGGGTGTTGGCGATGATCCTCAGCTCTTCATCAAGGTATCGGCTCTCTAAAAACCTCTTCTTGATGTGATCGTTTTTAGGGGAATTTAAATGAAGATACCGATCTGTTTTGTACATGATCGCATCCAGTAGCCCATGCATGTCCATGTCGAAGGCATAGCTAGCTAGAAAACTGTAGACTCGGCTGTAGTAACTAATAGTACTGACAGTCACTCGCGATTGAGCGGTGAATGCGAATGTGCTCGGGGAGTGTGTGTGGAGAGGGGGAGATCAGACTCTGTGCGTCATGAAATAGGGGGGTGTCCAGCAGCTCATGGGTTCCAGTGCGTCACGGAGCCCTGTTTTAGCCCCGCCCAATTAATCCGTAAAATTGCAATGGTGAAAAACTGTTTAACGATCTAACTCCACATTTCAGTACTTCACAGTTCACAGACTTTGTAATATGTTTTAGCTATACATATGTAACATTTATAATGTGTTTAGAACTTAGAACTTAGAACTTAGAACTTTAGAACTAGAATTGCCTTTACAGGGACTTTAATACACTGAAGGAGATTAATTTAACCATCAGAAACTCAAAATTATATGTTATCTCAACTAAATAAATTATTTAAGTTGATTTGACAAAAGAAAAAATGTTGTGATTACTACACTGTAAAAAAATATTGTTGGTTTAACTTCAAAAAGTAAGTAACCTGGGTGCCTTAAAATTTTAAGTTGATTGAACTGGAAAAAGTGAGTTAATACACAACGCATTCTCACCCCAAGGCGTCACCTTTGACCATGCTTCAATATTTGACGTTTTAGGCGCCCTTTAGCGTCACTTACATGACGCGATCCTACGGCGTCATCTAACTGACGCTAAAGGAAAGCGTCAGTTAGAGGACGCGGTTAGGTTTAGGTGTGGGGTGGGGGTAGGGTACACGCGATCCTAGGGCGTCATCTAACTGACGCTAAAGGGCGCCTAAAGCGTCAGATATTGAAGCATGTCCAAATGCTTCCCATGGCGTCAGTTAGGTGACGCCTTGGGGGTGAGAATGGGCTGTAATACAATGAAGTAGATTAATTTAACCAACAGAAACTCAAAATAATAAGTTATCTCAACTAAATAAATTATTATAAAGTTGATTTGACAAAAGAAAATATGTTGTAATAACAAATCTTGAAATTATTTTTTACAGTGTGGGGGTGAGTAAAATATCAGCAATTTTCTTTTTTAAAAGTGAACTACTCCTTTAAGAGTGATTGCCACTTTTTGTATTTTTGGTTTTAATTATCGTAGTTCATGTAAAGCGTCAAATACTCTGAAGATTTCGTTTTTGTTTCTACAATTTCTAGTTAGGTTTGGGGTTTATGGGTTATACGTACCAGGAATCATTACTTTTTTTTATTTCCTCTTGTTAACACTGCGTTATTTCAGATAAATTGACCAGCTGTACGTTATTCTATTTTAATCAGTTGTTTCTGTTTATTGCACATGCAATTAGCCTAAATGTCATGCAATTAAACCTCTAACATCAAGCACGTAACAGAATCTTTTTATCAGTATGAAGAGTCTTTATGAAGTAAATTGTGTTAATTTATCTCAACCGATATGATTTAACAACAAATTAGCACAAAACTGAAGACAGTCAAGTAGTTTTTGACACCCTCTTGACATTTTTGTGTGTATTTAGGTCAAACAACATCGGACATCATGAATAAAATCACAATGGACAGTCTGCTTGAAGGGGTGGACAGGAGTAAATATTACCGGTACCAAGGCTCTCTTACCACACCCAACTGCAATGAAGTTGTGATTTGGACTGTGTTCAAAGATTCCATCAAAGTCAGTCAGGACTTGGTAAGTTAAGGCCACTCTACAGTAGTAATTCATGAAACATCATATTCGTCTATAACTGGATGTAGCATTCTTCATATTCCGAGTTGAAACCCTATGGAAGCCCGTTTCCGCCACAGTTGAGTAAAAAATATAATTCTGTAAGTCATAATAATGAGAAACTTTCTCATAATTATGACTTAGTTTCTCATTATATTGAGAAAGTTTCTCATAATAATGAGAAACCTTCTCGTAATAATGACTTAACATCTCATAATAATGACTTAACATCTCATAATAATGACTTAATATCTCATAATAATGACTTAACATCTCATAATAATGGGAACTTTCTCGTAATAATGAGTTTGCTATCTGGGGCAATACCTAAGATTTAGATGCCGCTAGAGGGCGCTACATTCAAAACAACAACAACGGCTTTGCTTGATGACGACGTGGAGGAACGCGGAATGATGGGAACTGTTGTTTTCAACTCCACTGTGGATAAATCAGTCAGACGGGAATCGAAAAGTAGTTGTCATGGATGACCCAGATAGCAGACTGACATTGAATCAACGTGGAAATATGACATCGAAACAACGTTGATCTGACATTGTTTTGCTCATCGAATTAACGTTGAACCAACGTCAGAGGCGTCATTCTTTCAAAACTAACGGAAAATCAACTTGAAATCAACGCGTTGTTTCAACGTTATGAAAGCAAACCAATTTTCGATTTTCATTTAGCTTTGAAGAATGCCGCGTCTGACGTTGGTTCAACGTTAATTCGATGAGCAAAATCAACGTTGTTTCAATGTCATGAGAGACGTCGTTTCCACGTTGATTCAATGTCAGTTTGCTGTCTGGGGAGGTAAAGTTCGATTTCTATAAATGTTGCGTTTAATGACATGCTTGTTTTTCCTTAAACTGAAATAACCGCAAGAGAAGTCAGGTTTAAAAGTAAATTAGTTATATCACAGATGTTACTGTACGAGTCACTGAACGAAGCTATGGTGGAGAGGGTTTGAAGGGGCAGGTCTCTTGCAAGGAGTTGACGTGGCTGGTCCTCCTTTTTGGTAACTTTATAAAAATAAAAAATCAGGTACATTTGACACATCTTTTCATGTCGTGTAAGTATTCAACCACAGCTAACTTTCACAAAATTAACGTTAAGGGGGTCGCACACCGGACGAGAAGCTCAGCGCCGCGTCGCGCCACATATTTCAAATTCGAACACATTATTATCTATAAGTGTACACATACCAGCGGCGCCATTCGGCGTCTGCCGTCTGTCCGCGGCGCCCAGCAACGTCTCAGGACCCTGTTCAAAATCCTGCTGCGCCACAGAGCGCCATTTACATAGTATAAAATTGTAATTATTTTTGTCTCAAATCGTTGCTAATGGACTCTGACTTCGCCCTATGCTTCAATATGCATTTAGTTTTGCATTCATTTACAGAAATCAGCTGCTTGAATGACAATTGCTGATGTTATTAGATTTTTCAGGTGAGATTCTCAATTCATTCAGTTAACGGATGCTCTGAGGTAAAGTTTTCAGACTGCAGACTCAGCAACGATTGTATTTAATTGTACAGTACAATAATAACATAGAACAGACATTATCTTCATTTCCTGTCATTAAACATAACAATATTGCTGGCCATACACTGATGAGAAAGTGCGCGTCCGGTGTTCGATAACGTTACTGTGGAGTTGTCCTAAACGTGGCGCGGCGCTTCTCGTCCGGTGTGCGACCCCCTTTACAGCCAACAGATCACATTCCGAGAATAAATGAGAAGAATAATTGTGCTCCATTCCATAACAAATGCACGAAACAAGCTGACGTTTGTTGCTTGATAGACGCTAACGCACAACTACAACTACCGCATTTGTCCAGGACTACACGTAGTACGAGCGGAAACCGAGGTAAGCGGATATTGACTGGCGACTTCCAGCTCACCCCTGCTCATACGCCCCGTTTCCTTGGTTAAAATCTCAATTTTATCGCGATTTAAACATTGTTTGAAACATTTGGAATATTGTGAGTTATCATATTAACTAAATATATAGGCTAACACTGGCCTTGTGATTTTGGTATATTTTAATGCAAAAATCTTAGGTATTCCACCTTTAAAGAATTATATTTTTTTACTCAACTGTGGCGGAAACGGGCTTCCATAGAAACCTAAAAGTCACTCAGTTGAATTTATTCATCCAAACAGATCAACCGCTTCAACACAACTACCTTTTTCAAATCAAGCGTTCCAGTTCTAATGACCAACAACTTCAGAGGAGTTCAGCCCTTGAATGGCAGAGTTGTGATGTCACAGCGCTCCACAGCACCTTTATCTGCGGCCACATCCATTATATCTATCATCACAGTTCTTCTCTTGTCATGTTTGTGTTGGCTGTAAAAATACAGTTGTGTTTTTCTGCAAACCAATATGAGTTTAGTTTAATTGATTGCTATTGTACATCGTGTCAGCTTTATTGATCATGTTTGATAATGGTTGATGTTTTCTGTAATATTTTAAGTTTGTCACTTCTTATCTTTATGAAACTTGACTGTTTGTACTTCTACCCATTTTATTTTTATGCTGCATATAGTGCAGTAAAAGATCTGTTGTTGACTCTTAATTTAACATTGATAATGTATTTAATAACGTAACCCTAACTGCATTTTATTACTGTTCTGCTATTTTTAAAGGGTTTTTAGAAACATTAGGCTATGGGTGTAAACGATTCGCTATTTGTATTTGTTGTATTTATTCATGATGAGTAGCCTTTTTTTCGATTATTCGATCTTTATTGAATCCATGGATTATCCCACTTGTTCCTGGTAATTTGCCAGGATTGACAGCTGTTATTTGCAGGGCAAAATTTGACTGGAAGGAAAAAAATGTTAGTTATTTTAGTCAGTTAGGCTTGTTGTGAGGTTCAAGCATTTTTTCCACTTTGAATCAGACACAGACATAAAGAAGTGCATAAGATTACATTTCTGTGAATTAATAAATTATAGCAAGTGAGATTTGGTGATTTTAATTACTTTACTTAGTTACAACGAAACCCCCTTGTTGCTGAGACATATGAAGCGCTTCAGAAGTGAAACTATTTTTGAAGTAGTTCAAGTTGAAGTAGTTGAAGTAGTTCACTTTTAAAAAAAACTTTTGCTGATAATTTACTCACCCCCTTGTCATCCAAGATGTCCATGTCTTTCTTTCTTCAGTCGAAAAGAAATTAAGGTTTTTGATGAAAACATTCCAGGATTTTCTCCATAATGGACTTCAATGGGAACTGTTCAAGGTCCAAATGACCGTTTCAGTGCAGCTTCAAAGGGCTTTAGACGACACCAGACTTTGAATAATGGTCTTATCTAGCAAAACGATTTAAATTAAAAAGTTGAAGTTTTATGAGCACTAATGCTCGCCGTTCTGTGATGAGCGTTCGTGACTCTCCTGTTCAAACTCGTTCACCAAAATGAACAAATCTTTTTTCGAGTCATGACTCGAAGGGTCCTAGATAAGATCCTTATTCAACTTAAACTTTGTTTTTTTGTTATTGTTGTTGTTGTTTTTTTTTTTTTTTGTTGTTTTTTTTATGAGCGATTGTTTCGCTTGATAAGACCCTTATTCGTCGCCTGGAATCGTTTAAAGCCCTTTGAACAGTTTGCAATGAAACTGTTTTTGGACTTTGAACCGTTTGGTGCCCATTGAAGTCCATTATGTGGAGAAAAATCCTGAAATGTTTTCATAAAAACCTTATTTTCTTTTCGACTGAATAAAGAATCACATTGACATCTTGGATGACATAGGGTGAGTAATTATCAGCAAAAGTTTTTTTTTTTTTTTTAAGTGAACTTCTCCTTTAACAATCCTGTTAAATGTTAGTGTCCTTGACTCCTTCTCCTTGCATTGTTTTTATTGCCTATCTTACATGTGGTGTCACGAATGAAAATTTGGCCATCGTGTTACGGAAACAGTAGGCTACTTTAAAACCTTTTTTTAGCAGGCTCAATTTAGTTTGATATTAACTTAAAATTCGGAATACACTTGTTAGACTTGTGGATTTGACTTTCTAGCAGAGTGTTTTTTTTTTTGTTTGTTTTTTTTGTTGTTGTTTTTTTTAAAGAATCTAGGTCTGTTTTCCAAATAATTTATGCATTACAATCATTTAAGTTCAGATCTATGGTCAAAAAGGAGGGTTACAATTAACAGGTTCATCTTTTTCTTTACTCATTATTTGATCCGATTGATAAAAGTTACATATTTTGCAATATTGAAAGAAACACTTAAAATAACAATGTTGTTTATAAAAAAAATAACTCGATGTCATGTGTTAATGCATGCAGTACTTAATTCTTACTTAATTAATGTACTGCAGACAGTACTCTTTGAAACATTAATCATTAAATAAAGCCTGATGCTTATTTTTAGAAAATAGCAGGCAGTGCATATTCAAATTAATCATTCTGGTGAGAGTACATAGATTCATGCTCACTAAAACAGTTCCAGTGTCACCACAAGAGGGCACTAATAAATAACACTACAGAAGAACATATGCGGCATAAACTGGCATTACAATGGTTTAGGCTATATGAATCTCATGAACTGAGCAGTCTCACCTGGAGCCCAGTATAGACTGAGAGAGAGTTATAACTGAAGAGAGCTGTGTCACTCTGAATTATCATGGATGCTAAACACATAAAGATGATGAGAGAAAAACATCATATTCTCAGCTCCATATGGCAAGCCATTTTAACTTTTATTCATTTCCAGGACTACAACAATGGCAGTTTTTGATATCAGAAATATCAGAAATTACATTTCCAGTAGTAACAATGCTACTTTTTTTTTTCTACTCATTTTTTTATTTTTTTATTCTAAACTTTTTTTTAATTACTTACTATATTTTATTTTTTATTCTAAACTGTTTTAATTATACTGATTTCTTTTGATTATTTTAATTTCTTCTATGTAAAGCACTTTGAATTACCATTGTGTATGAAATGTGATATATAAATAAACTTGCCTTGCCTACTTTTTGATAACAACAATTAAATCTTAACTAGTAAAAAATAATTTTTGATATCTGTAATCATCATAGGCTGCCATTCAAAATCAATTGTAGATATCAAGAATATTTATATGCAACAATTAGGATCCTGGAAATGAATAAAATTTAAAATGACTTGCCAAAGAGCCAAGTACAGTATGCACAACAGCTAGGGATGGGTGGAATTGCATGCACTTCTTACGTGCGCTTCATGTACACATAGACTTTAGGGAGAGGGAACCGGAGGTGCTACTATCAATAGAGAAATTGTCTTACATTCTCTGTATAATACATTCACTATAACAATTACTAATTTTAAAGGATTAATTTATCCAAAAATTAAATTTCTGTCATCAATTACTCACCCTCTTGACATGCCAAACCCTTTTTAAGGAAATCTGAGAGCTTTCTATCCCTCCATAGTCAGCATTACAAATACAACTTTCAAGCCCCAGAAAGGTAAAGACAGCATTAAAGTAATCTTTGAGTACCCACTAACTGGGGAAAAGATTGCGATTAAAGGCAATTAAAGGGACACTTCACCCATTTGCATTAAGCTTTATATCTTTAGAAACCCAGTCATATTTTTGTATGGTCATGGTTTATTCCCTTATTTTCCCCTGAGATGGGAGAAATAAGGATTTTAATGTTTTACATGCTTATTATGACGTAAAAATCGTAATTTTGCATCATAATAAGCAGGAAGTCACATTTCATTGAAAAGTGTAGACTATAAACTTAGCTCCTCATTATTCAAGGGTGTGGGATCCACTCACCCTACAGGCCTATTACGGATCAGTGGGTGGGACTTCACTTGCAGATACTGAATCAATATCAGCCATCTTGTTTGGATGCTAAGCTAACAAGCGCTATGGAGATAGTAAGTTATGACAATGACAGAAGAAACTAAACATGATATGGAAAAAGATGATTTTGAAGTTCTGCCGCTCGAATCCGATGTTCGTGGATATCTTTACAAGTTGCAATATAGTGAAAAGCAGCTGAGGCTGATGGAGGAACCGGAGGCGGCTGCCTGTCGCGGTCGAGGAGCCCAGACTGGTTCGAGCTGGGCGGACTGCTGGTGCATGTGCTCTCGCTGCGTGCTACGGACACAGATAGTCCGTCTGCTGCAGAGAATTTCAACAAAGGCAATTTTTCCTGAACGAAATCTCTGAACCAGACGAGCACACGGAGCACACGGGGTAACACATTCACAATTGTGTTGTGATGTGAACCATCCTAGTTGAACTGACTGAACATCCAGGTATTATGCAGTAATTCACCAAATAAATACAAAGGAGGAGTAATTTCACTAATGAGTTTGCCAATGTAACGTTAATGGGGTTTGTTGGAAGAAGGAGGCGGAAAGGGAATCGGCGAACATTTAAACATTTTAATAGTTAAATAAATACAAAACAAAAGTATAAGCCAGGAGTCCCTCATTGACGACTGATGTCCACATACAACAGAAACAAAACACAACATAAAATCAGGCCTGTTTCTCTCTCAATCTGCCGTTTATGCTCCTGCTCCTCCGTGAGAGTCACGTCCCTCGTCCTGCTCGCCACAGCCAACTAGCTAGAAATTTTGTGTGAAATGAATTTCAAACTCTGGTGGCAGCTAACGTTAGCCTTGTTGACGAAAGAATGATTTCTCTCATGTGTGCACAGTTTCGGATTAGTGGGTGTGGCTTGTGGAGCTGTGCAATGTGATGCATTGTGGGAGTTGTTGTCTTACATACAAATGCGTCCTTTGGTTATTTTCTGTCTTTTCTCGGTCAAGAGGGCACCAAATTCAAAAATTATTTTACATTTCGACTACATAGATCAACTTTCAATAAAGATTAATGTTAAAATGGGTGAAATACTCCTTTAAAGCTCAACCGAACCTGATTGATGCATGAGAACAAACCTCATTGGTTCTTGCAGAAGCTTAAAGGTGCTGTTCAACACAAGAATGAACCTCATTGCTTCTCAAGAATTTCTTGCACGTCAAGCAAACATGCTTGAGCTTCCTTTTACCACAAGTGATGTGTGTTGATGAATGTTTATATGTGAATAAAAGCCTAAATTAAATCTGTTCATCATATAAAGTGATCGTGACTCCACAGAAAACTAAACTGCTTGAAGTATATGGATTCGTTTTTTGGTCTCTTTATGATTTTTTTTAAAGCACCAAAATGGTATTTGCATAGCAGTCACTGAAGGGACAGAAAGCTCTCAGATTTCATCTAAAAGATATTTTCCGAAGATGAACAAATGACTTACAGGTTTGGAATTACATGAGGGTAAGTAATTAATGACAGCATTTTTATTTTGGGGTGTAAGCAGGTTTGGGTGTGATCTGTCCACAATAAAATGCACATAGAAATATTGAACCAGAATTAACATCTTAATCAGTGGTGGAATGTAACGAAGTACAAATACTATACTTTACTTAAGTACATTTTTCACGTATCTTTACTTTACTTAAGTAGAATAAATAGCGCATACTTTTTACTTTTACTTCGTTACATTTTGCAGCAATTATTATACTTTCTACTCCACTACATTTTTACAACTTCTGTTATATTTTCATTACATTTTCTGATCAGTTTTTCCCCTGCCAAAACGTAATCTGGCCGTCCGTCCGTTGCACCTTTGTTCTCAGTGATCGTAAATAAAACAAAATTCCATTTTCTCGGTTTAATGATCGAAAACCAATAGGTCGTTATGGCAGAGGCGAATAAACATCCGGATATCTCTCCAATGGAGCGTGTTAACGACGTGTAAGTTTCACGTTTGAGGGGGTTAAACCGTGACATCTACACATTTTCCAAAGTGGACTATTTAAGCTGCTTCATAAAAAATGTGTCATTTAGACGTTTTTTTCAGCGTGGATCGAGGCAAATGAATCCTGTTCACCTTGAAAATAATAAATGTTTTTTGCATTTTAAATATTAGACCATTTCTCAGTGATCGTCAATAAAACAAAA